TTGTGTGCAAATATGTCCAGGATAGTATATATAATGTTCTACATGAATTTGTAGAGAATATTTATGTAAGAACTGTATAATTTTATTTTACAAAATATGTTATTGCAAACAAAGGTTCATAAACCTGTCACAATGTCATAAACAAAATCATAAACTTGAACGAATAAACTTATTCGAAAATGAATTATGTATGAAAATTGACACAGTTATCTGCCTACTTCTGTATTCAAAATCGTACGTAACTTTATGTATGATTATGTGCATAATTTTTTTATAAGGGCATGAATAGAAATAACTTTACTTACTATTTTGTTTTGACAAAGTGCTTTATTAAAGAGCACATAAAATCAAGAATCGTATAATCGTTCTTTTAATCATTAACAGGCATATTCATGTTAAAAAAAGCACTAATAGAAGTAGTGTAACGTAAAAAAGGTCACTTGTACCAACAAAGATTTTTGTAAAAGTTAAAGAATCCCTATTTGGTTGACTACGATGGAACATATATTCTTTCTCGTTCGCAATTATTTTCGATAAGAATAAAATATTATGACAAATACAAAGATAATATAAAGGAAAAATAGCTTATAAATTTTGTGAAAGTAATGTAGCAAAAGCTGCCATGTAAATCTGACGTGAGAAGAAAGATTGAGTCGCCGAAGAAAATGCGAAAGTAGCTTAGGTAGTCGAATAAAGCTATCGATCTCGAGTAAAAACTTGCTAGAGAGGTTCTATGATGGAAGAATTATAGTCGAAAGAAAAAGAAACGAGTAAAAGACGCAGAGCGAAGAAAGTCGAGTGCATTACATGGAAGAAACGAAAAGGAAGAAAAAAAGATAAACTAGGACAGATAAAGGACACCGAAGGGTCGTAGCGTCATCCGGGCTCACTTCATAATCCGATGATCAACGATCGAGCCGATATTAAAAACGCAGGCTCGCGCATATTACCTTCGGGCCATACTTTGAAAAGTTAAGTATAATGCCTTGATCGCGTGGCTGCGTTAAATCTGCACTGCATGGCACCGGCAGCTGCCTCATCTCGTCCTCTCGTGATGCGTACAGCAGCCCCGGCAGGCGACAGCGCGCTCTAACGCCTGTGTGTCTTGCTCTTGTATGAAACCGGAGGCTCTTATCGAGAAAGAATACCAGTTTTTGCTATACGCTAATTACGAAAATGTTATTCCAGCTTGTCAGTGAAGATAATAAAAGATAATCATTGTGTAATTAACGTACTCTAATCATCCTTATAAAAAAATATCTGCTTTTACACAAATATATGGATGCATAGGTTGCTATTTGAGGACAATGAGGACATAGCATAAGTAGGAATTTATTTATTGCACGTGCAATAAATTTGTTGACCATAAACGGTGATTTATACGTACGATACGTGTAAGATAGTGAATAGCTGTAGAGGAAACAATTAAGTAAGAGAGACTGTCAGTAGTCTGAGATAGAGGTTGAAGGATGGGATGGTAAAGCAGTGCGCAGAAGCCTCAAGCGTCCCCACAGGGATTTCGTTGGAGAAGCCGCGGAGGAATGCTTCTGGCCGTGCGCGTCGCGAGCACGAGAGTAAGCGGCTGCTGCTGCTGAAGCACTCGCGAGTTCGTTCTATTAGCATATTTATTAGATGTCAGTCATGCTGGTCTAGTTAGCCATGAAGAGAGAGAGAGAGAAAGAAGAAGAAGCACAGTGACCTCTCTTGGTCACTCGTGTACACTATTAAAGAGTCGCGGACTATTATAAAGAACAGCGGATGCTCGGTGGTGTCTGTCTGACTCTATCCAGACTTAATCTACTGGAGCACTCTTCGCGGTCTTTTTTTTCCACGCGGCTTAATATTTCTTTTATCTGGGAATTTCGTTTGAAGCCTTTGTCATGTTAATTGAACCTTGTTCATTTACATACCTGTCGGTCTATTGTTGATTCAAGACTGCGGCATGATTAAGTCAAAAGCGCAGTTACATTATGCATATTATTTTGATGTGTTAGTGCGGACTTCATTATTCATTCACTCCAATCTGAAAATCCAATTGCAAGTACTTATAATCCTTTCGTATTCAAAGTGTTTTTTGCCAAATTGGATTAAAAAAAACTGAATGTGCGCTACAGTATTGTGATACTTTTTGATTTGGAACATCAAGTAAAAAATGTGCATAGTGAAACCAATTTCAAATGACATGTTCTTTTATACTATCCATCTGCTTTAAGTAATTCACTCAATACTGAATCACAATACTTTACTGTATCGACTTTTCTAGGCATAGCTTTACTGTGTTCGCGTTGTCAGATGAACACGGCTCGCATGTAAAAGTCGAAGCTTGTAGGGTGCATACCCAGAGAGTGTATGTCTAGACCAGTAACACAAGAGAGGAGCTTTGATATCACTGAAGCTGCAACACTTGGAAGCTCAAGTATGAGTATAGAGTGAAAGTAGCATCGCGATACCGTTGGCGAGAACCGAGAAGCTCGACGATATAGTACAAAGTGACTCCTCAAAAGCACACCACTACTACTACCGGAGGGCGAGACCTTCTACTATCTATAACAGAGATTTCACTAAACGTTCTACGTATCATGATGGAAACTAAGAATGAGGCTATAGCCTCAATAAAATCAATTTACTATAGTACTAAGGGGATGGTAGTGCAGGATTAAATGAGCACGATGGGTAAAATATTTATTGCCTTTTTTAAATATTTATGAATTGATTATTTTTGATTAGATAGTTCTTAATTTTTATTACATTTTGTACATTTTGATTTAATTCTTATAAAAATGGAATGACTATAGTAATAATGATTTTAAAATGTAGTAAAATGCTAATTTTTACCTATTTAATATTATAAATAAACCATGAAATATTAACATAAATTTATCGAGTTAGAATCTTCAATATTTTCAAAGCTTATTTTTTCAATAAGTAGATTCAGTGATTTCAATTTGGTGATTTCAGTCTATTAGAATTAAATATTATCAACTTCGAATAAATAATTTTGTAGTTTGAATAAATTATTTCTATTACTTATTACTATTTTGCTTTCGCTTGTAGCTTTTTTTAGCTATATTATCAATGAAAAATGATATTGAAGCTTAAATGTATGATTATTGGTTGAAAAATAACATCAATACAATATAATTTTGCAATCGCAGGCAATCAGTAAGACTATTTAGAGAGAGTGCTAAACATTTAATTAATTATTTATACATTAGTATTTCTTTGGGCCAATTTCCATGCTCATCTCGACTGATCCGGTTCCGATAGGATAACATATGAGGAGAAAGGTTAGTTTCGTTTTTAATTCTTTTGTCAGAAAATAATTAATTGTATTATGAACGGCAATTTTATATTATTAATTATAATATTATGTCATTATGGTTCCTCGAGCAATATTGGTTTAATCGAAATATTGACTAGTTTTCGAAAAATAATTCTTCAAAGGCAACCATGTTCATTAGAGCCCGCTCTCTTCTTCGCGTGATCGATTGGGCGCCAAAATATAAATATTGAATTCGATTCGCTTTACCTTTACGTAATTAGCTAAAGTATTCCTATATCCTGTACTCGAGCGAGCGACAACGCGAGTGTTCGCGCGGCTTTTTAAACTGATTATGTGAAAGTGACTGCCGCTACTGCTACTTCCACTTGGAAATAGAGAGAGGGGGGGGGGTGTATACACAAAAAGCTTTTCTATTTTCGGGCGAAACAAATAATTACGTACATGGCAGTCATCTTGAAAATTAATAAACGAACCCCGAGCTAGAAATTTTAATAAAAGTAGCGGATACTTTTCTCTAAAAAATAAATTTGAGAACTGAACCAATCTAACAGTTCTTGATTACAGTTTTATTTGCAATAAAACTAAGCGGGTCATTGAAAAATGAATTGAAATTAAAAAAGCAGCTCAAATGAAATCGATTCATCTCCGTCAAAAAAGCACGGAGATTTAATAAAGATTAATGCCTTATAAAACACACAGATAGGACTGAAAAGAGGGACAACGTGGATTATATACGTATCTGCGCACGGCTTACGATAAAAACATAGAGGCTTTTACGTCTTGAAATAACCGGCAACTTTATTAAAGTATCAGTCATAGAGATTGGCAGCAATAATGTTAACTTTCAGTTATCATGTGTACATGTACGTGCGGACGAATACCATGTCAATTTGGCCCGTCAAAGCTTAATGACGTAACATTGTTCATCGGACTTTGTTTTATTATTTCTAACTCAATAAAAGCACATACTTTTACTCACCCAAGCGAAAATAGTTATATTTGTTGGTTGGCTTGCACGTTGTATAGCATCAGAGACACTTATTAAAGAATCAATACGCTCTGTGAATTCGAAATTGACGACAGAGCGTATAAATTCTAAAATAAATATCGTGACATTTATTATTTGACTCCAGTTTGTCGCTCTAATCTTCTTCCAGAAACGTTGCAGATATTGTATTACAACACTAAATTAGTAATAAGAATGAATAACTAGATACATTATCGTTAAATCGTGCAATTTATCGACGTAAGGAGAGGGTCAGAAAAAAACTTTTTTATAGGATAACGGATGCAATGCTTTCATTCTTAGCAAAGCATCGCTCGAGCGAATAAAAAGAGCTGACATTATAAAAACACGGAGAAGCGAAAGCCCAAACATTTAGCTCGCAAGAAAAAGCAGCAGAACGCGTTGAATAAGTGTGCGGTGAAAAGTACATTACACGCGGCCGACGATGGGTCTCGAGCTTAATAATCGTCGTTCACCGCCGCTACGTCGAATTACATGGCCTTGAGTACATCGCCTGCATAATTGCTAGTCGTTAGCTAATACTTCACTATGCCTCTGTTGGCTTTCCAAAACAAAAAAAACCTAACATTTACTTTTCGTACAGGCTGATGGTGGATGCTCTACTTCGTATGTGAATGGGGACGTTAGCTTGACAGGAGAGAGAAAGACAATGTGATAGAAAGAAAAAGTTTGTTTTAGAATTAAGGTTTTCATTTTTATTATTGCGTGTCTATTATAAATGTACAACTCCTCATACATTAAATTTGTAAATTATTTGTTGTTGTCGCCTGCTTGTTTATCGCTTTTTGCACAAGTGCGGCTATACGTCTCACGATTCGATTTTTCTGCTCGTTTCTATAATATACTCACGTGTAAATAGACAACATTACGTTTACTGAAGCTAACAATGCTCGAACGGGACGATAAAGATCAGAGTTGGCAATCGACAACGCCCCGCAACTGACTACTTCCCGACAAACTTTTGCGCGAAGAAGATCAACACGACGCACGATATCAGTATTTTTTTAGGTCACGCTTACGAAGCAAAGAAGAGAAGCGGATAATCTATTGTTGAGATCGCGTTCGACTAAGTGAAAAATATCAAGTACAAGTAATCTTTGGTAAAAAAACGTAAAATTTCATGATGACCTCCCACGATAACACAATAAGATGTTCGTTTGTTATTTGTGTGCATCCTTGAAGGCTTTTAAAGAGAGAAAGAGAAAGAGAGAGAGAGAGAGAGAGAAAGAGAGAGAGAGGCGATAGTCAAATGAAAAATCGACGAATGGGGTTTGTTATTTTTTTTGCAGGTCGCCGACGATTTCGAGTGCACTGCGTCATCAATTTGCTCCTTCACGTGCACACAAACACACACAGACTCTCATGCTCCTACGCCTTTTTGTGATGTGTGTATACGTTATTTTTGCTCCGTTTCTTTTTTCTCTTTTTTTTTCAATTCTTTTCTTCGCGCTCGCGCACTCTCTTGCTCACACTCATACGTTTCCACACATTCGCACAAACGCGCGTGTTTTCCACTCTTCCGCTTTAAAAATGTTCTGCTTTGATGTGCTTTGGTATAAGCTAATGTATATTAAAGTTTAATCGATTAACGAGGCGCGAAGGTGAGTGAGTTGCTTTTTCTCTGTTTTGCCTTGGCCTAAGAAGCACATAAGTCGTTAAATCGGACCTTGATTTTGTTGCATTTAAGTTTTTTCGTTCGATATATGCGGTACGCTTATTTAATATTATATTCTTTCGTTATTAAACATATCAGCGACTCTTTAATAACAAGTATGTAAGATTAGTTGTAAATATTATTTTTCAACGCACATTATCAGTTACATAGCAGACATAAGAACAGTACGGTGATAGGTGCGCATTGCCATCCAATCTGCGTCACAGCCATCAAATTGCTCGTAATAACTGCGTTCGCTTTTTTTAGTATTCATTGTATTAAATTTACTGAGACGATTGTGCCCTTGCTCGTTCAGATTTTCACTCGCGATGTCTATAGTCAAATGAATTTTTAATGACAATTTTCATTTCGTTTAAGAAAAAAGTCAACAAAATTTCTTCTCCAGAGGGCTTACGTTCAATTTGACGACCACCATACTCTGAGATTTCCTACTGTTTATCATGAGAGAATCTAATACGACTTTTATTTGTTTCTACGGTACAATACCATGAATTTCGAGGCAAGTATTTTGCTAGTTCCATGCGTATATTGATATTCAATGAGAAATCAGAGCATTTTTTCCAAACGTAATCTTTGTGTTTTATTTCCTATCCAGATGATTTTACGCGGAGGCTTGCTACAGAAGTTTTGCTCGATGTCATTTGTTCATGTCATAAAAGTCAAATCGTTTGGATGCTCATCTTTATCGTTTATGACTTTTCGTAATATATATATCTAGAAGAATCTTGTGTTCACTTCACGGTACTTTTTACTTGAAACTAGAATTTTCATATCGCACGTGAATGTAAGAAATGCAAACTACGATCGTACGTTTCTCACAAAAGTCTTATCTATATATTAATTTTTTTATTATAGCGACCTTTTTTATCTCATATATTTTTATATTGTATTCATTCGCCATGAGAATAGACAGAAAGCACTACTTTTTCAATAATTAGATAACTCTTCATTGTTTTCTCTATTATTATTTAAATTTGCATTCAATAGATGCAAAATTTTGTAATATACCTTTTATTTTAACAGTGAAACTTAACGTGAGACTACAAGCTCTAATGTAGAGATGTTCAGTATTATAAATTTCGATCTTTGGTAAATCTCGTGGATAAAATGAACATATATATGTAGATTAGTTGTACTCCGCTTGATTGGCTATTTTTTAAATGATTATTCATCCATTATATATTTATGTACGTATTTAAAATTGCAGTCGCAGCAATGACATAATTCTTAGTTAATTTTATTTCCAGGTAGTTTGTTTATATATATATGTATATATCTTAATTTTAATATTTTCTACTAAGGTAAATGCCCCCAGTGACTGGCCAGTTGTAAAATGCGATGTCATCCTCATAACAATACGACCTGCATAATGAATCGGATATTAATGCTGTAGTTTTGTAAAAATATGCATATATTTACATCATGGTCATTTTGATGATATTTTTTATACCGAATGAATACTATCAGAGTACTTAGATTTCAATGTAAACGTCTCAATGCACTTTATATATCGCTTGTAATTATAAACTAAATAATTTCACGTTCCGTAAGCATCATCAGCATTTGATCTTAACTTTATATGCTTTATTATTTTATTTTTTTTAAGAAAATATGCAACTTAATTAAATCGAATTCATGGACTGTAATATTCTATCACCATTGAGTATTGAAATGATGACTGTCGTATAAAATTCTCAATAGTATTCGGGTATTGAACGAGCTGTTTTTATCATCGCAAATATTTAGCCTACAGAAAACAATGTATTTTGTCAGTGTACACTGAGATCAACAATACTTAATCTTCCGAGTAATTTAATAATAATTTATCTTTTCAAATATAGGTGTATTTGTATAAAGAATTACATTTGTCGATAAATGATTATTAAACGCGTTTTTAATGTATATATATATATATATATGTATGTATATATATATTAAAGAAACAACGTTAGTTTAATATCACAAATACAGTTTAGTAAGATTATATATTTCAATGTGCCGACGATAAGATAGTAGTTTTCAAATGCAACAAGAATATAGAACGATATTTGTTGTTGGTTTTTTGGTTAACATGATAAAAAAATTTTTTTGTTTCGTCTTTTTGAAACGGTATACACTTTTGGAATGCAATAAAATTTATTGAATGAAAACAATACGTATTATCGAGTACATATAATATTATGTATAAAAATAAGTTGCAAGCAACTATGGAAGAGCTCACTAAAATTTGGGAAAGGGAGGGTTAACAAATAAAAAGCACGTCACCGAAGATATACGGGGCATTTGCCTTCAACAAGATTTTGAAAATTCTTTTTTTTTATAAATTTTTAAAGATAACGATAACTGTAATAGTGGTACATTAATAGTAGTGTTGGTGCTAATTATATAGAAGTTACAATTTTGATAATCAATTAATTAAATTAATTAATTATCATAATATATTTCGTCGACCGGCATCATATAAAACCGTCAGTTAGTGTCAAAAGCTCATCTCGCTCCAGCTGATCGACAAATTGTCATGTTTTTCGGCGCTTTCGAATGTATCTCCCAATCGTTCAATGTGAAATATTTCTTCAATGAAAGTTGTTAGGTCAGCTCTGGTTGGTTCAACAAACCCAGTGATACGAAATATTATACAATTAAATTGGAAGTGTCTACTTGTTTCTTTCAATTGGTTGCCAGGGAAGCCTGAAAGAATAAATTCGGTTTGGCGAAAAATTATATTAGGAGAAAATTGAAAAAGCCCGATGTACAATATTCTCGTGTACCGACAAAGCCTGCGAGCAATGACGCAAATAGCGTGCGATCGACCGGCGCGAGTTTAAGTGCTGACGGGCTATGGTCCATTTGCAAACGCCAGGAATCTTCCGGGACGTGGGTTTCGTTGTGTGTGCTGCTGTGAGAGATCGTACCTCTCTCTTCTCTTTCCTTCAGAACTTTACATCGCTCTTCGTCTTCTCGCTTTCTCACTCGTTTCACTTAGCCCTTTGCCTCGTTGCTCAACTTTTAACATCGCAGCTAATACAAAAATTCCTTTGTTGACAAAAAAGAGGCACGCGCGTACTCTTTGCCCTCTTTCGTGCTCTTCCTTTACACTTGCGCTCGTGATTCCACTTTAATGTTATTGACCGATCAAAATATGCAAATAGTTCATCTATTGCGTCAGAAAACATAATACGCAAGGCGAATATCTTTTGAATTTATCATATGCCTTGAATAAAACGAAGATCACCGTTCTTGTAGCAAATAATTCAAACAACTGTATTTTAGTGGATAGTTCCAATCAACTCTCTGGCTTTCCATCCCTTCGTCGATGGATATGTAACCTGCCTCGTATCTCTTTTCGATATTTCGCCGCTCACCTATAGCTTCTCACTTTGGCCTGCATACTTCGGCCTTTACACTCATCCTCCAGTCAGCGTATACATTGGAAAAGCACGGGCGTGGACTAACTTTTTCGTATAAATTGGATTCGTCCGCAGTGCGCGAGAAGGGCTGCCCAGCCGCCGCCAGCGTCGGATGAAAAAGTGAAAGAGAGAGAGAGAGAGAGAGACAAAGTGCACGTACGCTCGCAGAGACGAAAGTAAAAGAGGCACGCGAACCAGAGAGCAAAAATGGAAATTGCCGAAGCGAGTGGCAGCTGTCCCAGAAAGAAGATAGCTGCGAATAAAAAAATTGAACGAAAACGAAATAAGAGACGAATCGGTCTCTTAATTTGCTTTTTTTAGTCTGCCTTCTTTTTGTCCTTCGTTGCTGTAGCTACGGTCAAGTACAATTAATTCCTATCAAAAGTGGCAAACGCTCAGTCGATTCGCACTCTTGTTTTATTTCAAGGCTCGATTGGAATGAGAGATTGGCAATGACGATGTTGGAGCTTCGAAATTCTAAAAAAATCCGAAAAGAAACATTTAACCTTGAGCACACTCTTGGAACATATAATAAGAGCTAACGAAGTTGGAAATGTGTCGTATGTAGGGCAAGATAAACGAGATGAGCTGTTATTGCCGTGGCCTGCAAGGAGAAGAAGAGCCGCACGATCGGTGAGAGGTTAGTGAGTTTAGTGTTGGAAGAGCGAGTTCGTTGGGGGTGAGTTGTTGGATGTGTTGCTGTTTTTCGGACAAAGCACCGGTGCGGCCTTAGTGACATTAGCCACGCAGCGCGCGCGACAAGAGCAGTACGAGCGCCGCCGTCGCCGACAGCCAGATACTCGTTGGTGCAGTTGTCGACAGGGCACCGTTGCAGCCGTCCTCCTTGCAGCAGTACGTCCTGGTGCTCCAGGCCTCTACAACAACAGTAACGCACCATATTACGATAATATACAGCCAGCGCCTCTTCACAATACTAATAACCAGAATTTTAAATATTAGCGGCAACACAAACGTTGCCCAAACTATATAAGACAAATGTTACGGCTTGCACTCTCAGAGCACGTGTTATTTCTTTTATCAACCAGGTAACAATGCACAATATCTTAATCGATAATTGCAAAAAATATAATTGACTATTATTGTTTCTTCAAACAAATACGCTTCAGCATTATTGTAATGTTATGTCGAGGCACACCAAATAACAAAATCTTTATCTATTCGGCGAATCGGTAAAATAGATTTTGAGATGAACATATTATAAAACAAAATTTGTAATTGGAAGCTATCTAAAACCAAAAGATGAAAATAGTAATAAACGCAAATATGTTCGGTGTTATGAAAATCTACTTTTAAACATATATACTGTATGAGAAATGAGTAAACAATACAATGCTCACGAATTTTCCAAAACATTATTCAACATTCGTGAATAGCTACAAATGCCAATTAAGGAGGTTCCAGCGCCTTAGTATTTCTGAACCAACTTTCAACTTCGTTCCCGTATATTAAAAATCGTTTTTCACGTTCATCTCGCTATAACTTCATTAATTATTATACAATCAATGTAATAAATTAGAGATATTCATCTTCGTACCTAGTTTCTCCCGAATTTCTCAGAAATTCGATATATACTTTCGGTTATTATAAAAAATTCTAACTTGAAAAGTTACAAAATTCCTAACTTCAATTAACAAAAGTCTGTTATGAATTTTGAAAAATACTAATTTTTTCTCTATTACGTTTTTTATTAATATATCAAATTTTTAATCTTAATATATTCATCAAAAAAAATTAGAGAAGCAGTTCGGTAAAGCAACGACGTACCACGGTATCGATATTTAAGCATTATTTTAGAAAGAATTTTGTTAATAACTCTAAAACGACCCATGGTTATCTATATTTTATGACATACCAATTGAAAGCAAATGTTTTCATCTATATAGTTATAGTTTTCCACTGCAGCATAACTCCTCGATTAAGATATAGGAAACGATACATTTTTTTAACAAAAATTTCATTGCGCTCCATAAAAGCCTATGAAAAATATCGTAAAATGTACAAATTTTGATATGAAATATCTTAAAATTGTCTACAACTATCTAGGCAAATAAGGATACCGCTGGATTTAGCGTATTTTAATTTATCAAAATAGTTATAGGTGATACCGGAACTTTTCGTGCTGAAGCCTCCATAAATCGAACTATACTTTAATGTACAACGTGCCTTACGTTTATTTCACGATTAAAGTGACAACACATGCTGCTCAGAGAATTTCAGATCATATTCGGACATAAAGATCGTTCCGTACTAGCTGATTTCACCAAGAAAGTCAAGCAGAAAACGGTTCTTTGGTGTCTTCAGCTGAAGCCAGCTCAGGAATGCGAATTCACATTTCGGATTCCTCGAACTTACAAAGCGTTTGGTTGCCGAACCACGTTTTCGTATCCGTGAGAAAAATAACGAAAGCGACTGAGTGAACATTTGTGCATGAATGTCTTGTAACGAAATCCGTAAACTCTAAGTTTGAACCCGCAATGTTTTCTAATAGCATATGTTTCTAATAGCAAATACGAATGTTTTTAATTTTAATATGTTCGATTGTCTTACGGAATACAATTAGAAAATTCATTTGCATTGCAATTATGAATATGAATAAGGCGCTGAAAAATTGTTTACGGTTTTTAGTGATGTCATAGTTTTAAAAACAAACTTTACTGAAAATATTTAACTCGTAATTCAGACTCAAAGTATTAAGAAAAACCAAAATCAAATGTCTGAGCTGTACAATTTTTATCACCTATTATAAGTACTTATGTAAATATAGCTGCTGGGATTAATAGTGAAAAATTTAACAAGAGAATTAGAGCGTAACATTGAATAATGTAGTATATACAGTTGTGAACTTACCCTTTTCTGTACAAGTAGGTACGCAGTCTCGGACGATGGAACCCTCGCTTACGTATTTCTGTAACACGCAATTAAAAAAATAATATTTTAGTACAGTCAGTCGTTTCAGAATACCACGTCGTTTGAAATATCGAATGATAAATATTGTCAGAACTACAACGAGCATTCGACTTTTTGCCTTTAAATGTTGAGCGCTGTCTGTGGATTATTGGACAGATGCGAGGCACGTGACGAAATTTCGCTATGAACCACGACTGGTTTATTCGAAATGAGTCCTGTGCAATAATGGCTCGCCATTAAACGTCGTGTCGTTATGAAGTTACGCAATTAAGTCGCTGAAATTTTATTTCTCGCAATGAAAAAGCAAATTTTTAAGTCTTACGGTAAAATTACGTCGAGATGACGTTTTCTTTGTCAATTCCATGAAATAAATATTGAAAACAACAAATGTTGACAAAAAAATGACATTATACATGTACGAGTGGGAACTAAATAAATGAAAAGAGCGAAAATCGGTAGTTTTGCTCTTCGAAGGGTAAGTTTTTCTCAAGTATAACTGCTGGCAATCTAACGTCGAGCGACGAGGCTTCGTCACAAAGAAAACCATAAAGAATCACACGGCGGGCAATAACGCATGCGACACACAGTCAGTCGGATAACGGCTCGCCGTAAAAGTCGACCAAATTACTCCTTGAAGAACGCGTCACGCAATCGGCACGCTGGGTTCGCACGTTGGACGCAAACGCACGTACGATTCGTTAGGTGCACGTGTGCCAAAACTCTCCTGGCTCATAAATTTTACCACTCCCTCCTGGCCATTCGATATCTTTCTATGATATATCAATTGCTGCCTTCTGCTTTTGTCATCCTTCCAAACTTTTACTGTCATACTTTTATTTGTCACTCCAGTGCTAGAATGCTTGTGAATTAGAGCTTGCGAATAATTCGGTCAATTCCAACACGTTTCCTCAACTTTTTTTTTCAGATTTCTATCAGGGCTATTACACTCACATTCATAAACACAACTATCAAGCTCAATATGTTATTGTTATTGTTATTTCAAGCGCTACTGTCTTTACATACTTTAATAATCAATTATTGCGTACATTGACATGTTTGTGCGAGTAAAAATCAAATATTTTCAAACAGGGCTCTTGTAAACAACATTTGAAAGTTAGACTCGCAATACCGAAGCATGTTTTGGCATAAATCATCAAAGTTCAAGAGACTGTAGTAGTTGTATCGTATTCCGTTGTTCGATAAGTTTGCGAAAGTACATTATCTGTCGGAGACTAAAGCTTTGAGTCAAACAAAACGATTGGAATGTGACCAAACGAATTCTAGTTTCTGTCGCAATTTTTCATTTGTTTCACTGAAAAATATGAAATTCTATATTTACAATAGTATTTGCAGATTATTAAGCAAAATGTAGATAAAAAATAAATAAACTTAATTGTTTTCACCTTATTGTATAAAATATAAACGTCAAGACAATCTCTCATCTTTAAAATATTTTTATTTACATATACCTATTACGTTAATGTTATTTTACTTCGATAGTTGAAAAATTAAAATATGGACTTTTTTTGCTCAGTGCCAATGATGTTAAATATTTCTACTTAATCACCAATTTCATTGTTATCGCATTGTGACTTGAAAGACGGATTATGTCGTGATTGTTTCAGAAACTCAAAAAAGTAATTGGCACCCGATATGACATACTAATACGAGCTAGTCGACTACATAAGTCAGGATGCACCAAGTAAATAAGCTCTTTTCATACTGTTTTCTTATCTAATTTACGGAAAACCTTTTCAGTATTCTTTGCTCATATATTATAATCATCCGAACGTCCTATGAGCCTCTTTCCGTGCTTGGGCTTAGACTTGTGTCAGGCTTGTCATAGCTGAGTGATTTATCGTCGCCACGCAAGCACCGACAAAGAATTTATGTCAGGGATCAAAATTATAATCGGATAAATTGAGCTTTCATTATTCTTGTGCTTTTAGAGATTCGAAGAAGTTAAAATAAAAATATTTAATCTAATGATATAAATAAACCGATATGTCACGATATTTTGTATAGTACAAAACTGCGAAATAAAACGTTACATCGTCATTACAGTGATTATAGCGGCATTTCTTTCTAATTATGATTTAAATTTATTTTTCTGAAATATTATTTATTTAAAATACTTGAGAAGAAAATAATATTGAATTTTAAATGGAAGCAATCATTAATAATATATTTAATTAATAATATATCAACATCAAATTTATTAAACTAAAAATTAGACTATGTATAAGCATAACCTCCATAACTTGATTTTATAATGATCACCTCTCTCGAAAGTATGCTACCCGTTATCCAGAGTATGGTTCCTTCAAAATTTCAAAGTATTTCTGGCATTTATATTCTCGTCTAACGAGCGATATACCCAGGTATATCAGAGCGGTTGTTTAATAAGCTTTAATTTTCACTTAGTTTTCATAAAACCCTCGTAAATTTACATACGGTTTCGAATTGGTAATCGCATATTATTATATTCATTGAAAGTTAACAAAATAATGGAATTTCATTGCACTTTTTCAGGTTTACATCGACTTCATTCAACAAAGAATAGGTACTTAGAAGAATAGATATGCGATAAACGAATGACATTAAAAAAGTCCATTATTAAGTAAAGTAAAACGACGAAGCTTCTTAATGAAATCATTCAGAGATTCTCCATCAAGTATCCATTAAATTAATTGTCAAACAATGTATTTAAAAAATATGTAATATCGAATCGTTGATACTGCAAGTAGCGCTTGTTGGAAGTCACGCCATATTGAGTAACCGAATAAATACTACAATTTTATTCACGAAACTTAGGAATGCATAAATAATCTCGACGAAGTAAAATATATCATCGTGAAATGAAGGAAGCTCGATAATGGAATCAAAGGAAAATCGTTAATCGTATACCTAGGCTCAATCAGATATGGCTCGTTTCCAAAAATAATCGTTTGGCTTTCAACGATAGGCGTAAGCAGAAATCGAAAGCGGCGATGTGCAAACTCGCAAAAGTGCAATTACTCGAGGTTGGAGTGAGGGATCGGCAGAATTTAAAGCTGAAACTTCTTGCCTCGCCCTTCGAGCTATTGAATAGTGCTTTTGGCATAGACGTCGAGTCGAGAGTCGAAAGGGATGGCTTTGTCAAGTTGTCAAGCTGGCGATCGTTTGTTTATCTTGATCACTGAGACTATTCAAAACAGACCACAAAAGAAATTTCGATTTGTCCCTTCGAGGCCATAAATCCTTGCATTTTCTTAGCTTCGACGTAATGAATGGTGATTACCAAAGACATCCAAACTTTTACAGAGTCGTACGTGAAATGACATAGTTGACAAGGAGCGACTTACGCTATGGTGTACACGGTGTGTACGTAAAAAAATGCATTGCGTCTGAAAGAAATATTGTTCAATTATTGCTGAGGAAGTAAGCCACGGCTAATTAAACGAAAAGCCAGAAAATAATGAAAAAAAAGCATTGCTAACGAGGTACAACGTTGATATAAGCAAAAGAAAATATAGGTTATCGTAAATAGCTAGTTGGCGTGTGTGCGAGTGTGCACGGGTGGGGGCGTGCAGTGGGTCAGCAGTAGCAGGCCGTAGTGCGGTGCGCAGTGCAGTCTCGTTAGAATCTCGGCGTTCACGCATCGGTGCGTGCAGCGACGCATAACAGTAAGGTAACATGGCTAAATCGCCGTGTAAACGACGCTCGCTCGCTCGCTCGCTCGCTCGTTACGAGGCTCGTGGCGGCGCGCATCCATGCACGAGCGCACCATCGCACCGACGATAAACCGAGCAGCAAATGCCACTTCCTTCCCTCTTTCCCTCTCTGTTTACGCGACCACTCTCTTCTGCCCAAGAATCCTGGCTTTCCGTCTGTCTGCCTATCTTTCCCTCTCTTCTACTCTCGATCGCCGATCCAAGCGTGCTGTTAACCCGTAGAAAATAGTCTGCGAAGCAAAGACAAACAATCTAATCGCGGTCCGACTGACCGACGACTCTGCTCGCTGCAGATTTGTTTCAAGCCAATCTAACTTGGAGTTTAATGGAAAAAATCGAGTTGCCTCGATCTAATGGTACTCTCAGCATGGGTGAACTGTTAAGTCAAAGTATTGCACCAATGATGCAGTACTTATTATCGGTTAAGAAATGATAGGCCTCTTACTTTCGGAACGTGTATCGCTGCGAAAAAATCGTACAATCATATAGAAAAAAGAGCGTTAAAGATTTTCGTATTGCGCGTCAATTGGTTTATCAGCGATCGGTTTAGCTTAATGAACAAAGTTGTAGCAATGAATAAATTTTTTAAGTATTTGAATTCCAACCTGCTAAAGTTTCCAATTAATTTCAATAGAAGCTTGACTTAGTATGCTTGAGTCGTTGTAATAAGTTGTTGTAGTAAGTGTTGTAACACAAAATAAGATCGAGTGCAACGAGATACCAACAGTAGCTTATCTCTTGGTAGCGATCATTCGAAATACTTTTTTTGGAGAAATAGTGTGATGCGAATGCAATTACGTGTACGACATTAGAAAAATTGTAATTTTTCGTTAAGAAATTATTATAATATAAATTTCATTATATCATTAGACTATTATGAAATAAAAATAGCTGTTAATAAATTATGCGAGAAATTTTTTAAAATATTGTACAAATACTGACCGATATTAAAATGTTTTAAAATTATGCTAGTTAATGGATTTCCGTGAACATAGATTATGTAAAATTTAATATTACGTCGACCATGGCTTGTAAAATCAAAAAATGTATTTTCACCAACTTTACTCCTTCATTTTGTTTAAATTTAGTGTTGCTCGAAGTAATATTAACTTTTACATTATCCATTTTTATGTAAATCCATTATTAACTATCGTAATTTTCAAATATTTCAATATCGGTCAGTATTTATACAATAATTTAGAATACTTCTTGCATCATTTATCAATAGCTATTTTTATTTCATAATAGTCTAATGATTTAATAAAATTTACATTGTAATAATTTC